ACACAGGGAGTTAGAACCCTACACAAGTTAATAAAAATGCACTTTGATTCGGCGAAATGAATTTTAATTTCTGAAGATTCCTCTGTTGAGAATGAATCCCCTATCCTTAAAGGGATGGAGGCTGTTGGGGAGTCGCCTTGGGAATGGGGTGTGAAGCCGAGGAAGAAACAGCAGGGAAATATTTGGGACTTTAAAAAGCGTTGTGACATTTCTATGTATATTCTTTTTCTCTCATTTGTTTCTAACTGATTGAGTTCTGTCTCAAGGGCAGAGCACACAGTAAGCCTAAGGTTATAGTCAAGGGGTTCAGGCCCACGTTTGTACCTTCCCTCTTTTGGTTAGTCTCTCGCACTCTGTGTGCGTGCTTGTGCGTGTTTTGGGGAGTCGGAGCAGTGGCCTTTATACTAAACAAGGCTTCGTAGATGGGTAGATCGGTCTGAGGGAGTTTTGGATACACCTGCCTGACCCCGGGTCCTGAGTAAAGGCCGGGTCCGATCCTCTGATCTAGCAAGCACAGGGAGAGCCAGAGTCGGTAGCCTGGAGCCAGTAGCCTAAGCAGGGTGGGGTCGAGCGAGAGGTCAAGGTCGGCAGAGAGGCAGCTATTGATCTGGCTGGGAACGCGAGACACGGAGCGCAGCCAGACTAAAGGGGGAGCTGTGAGACCAGACATTAACAGCTTTCAGCGCAAACGATGCCGTGCCAGACGGGCAGAGGGAAAAGGAGGAGACTGGAGTGGCAGCTGGGATCGCTCGCTGCCTGCGCCCGGCCGCCTCCAGGGAGAGGAGGAGGCACAGGCCCGGGCAGGGAGGCCTCTTGTCGGCCGCCGCGAGGTTGAGCGCGCGGCCGCGGCGACAGCTCGGGTCCTGCACCCGGCCACTAGTGCGCGCGCCTTCCCGCCGTCGGGGTAGCGCGCAGTCCGGGAGGACGTGCTCAGGGTCAGTCCCGGCTGCGCAGCCGCTTCCCGCAGCCCCTTTCCAGGTCCCTATCCGTGCTCGAGTAGGCAGCTGACTCCGGGGCCCCTAAGCTCCCTGTTTCCTAAGCGAGCTCCTCCTCCTTCCTCGCCCTGGGCCTCTGGCCCGGTCCTGCTTCCTTGTAGCCATCTCCTCCTCCAGAAGGTGAGGGCCACGTGTTTGAATTTCGCGCCCAAGGTGGCAGGCTGCAGCTGGCCTGCCGCAGTTTTCAAGTCCAGACCTGCCCCTGATGTGCTGTGTGTCTTTGGGCAAAATCCTAACCCTCTCTGGCCTGCCTTCCCATCTGCGGGCCCACGAAACAGAAGGCTAATTGATCTTTCCAATTGAAGCGGGGGTGTGCGAGTAAGGCCAGTTTATTAATTTCTTGGGAGGTTTATTAAAAGGTGGGTGTGGGCTACTTTTTTTTCCTACTCTGGCCACTTTCCTGGAAATATTTTTTTTTCCGGTGGGGCGGGATGGGTTGAGAGGAGACGCTTCCAGACTTTTGACCACGTGGAGGGGTGCATGTGTGTGTGGTGGGCAGCTGCACGCGGCCTGCGGAAGGAGGTGCAAACCCGCCCCCATCCAGCATCTCCTTGGCTCATCCTCGCGTCCGTCCGTGGACCCTGCAGCCCACGGAGCTGGAAGCTGCAAGCTAGGGCACATTGTACAGTTGCTTATTTTGGGTGAAGTGGGAAGGGAAGAGAGATCCTTCTGTCCTTGCTCCTAGCACAGCTTCGTTGGTGTCATGGCCCCACCCATGGCTTTCAGGATGAACAAAAGCCCAGGTGCCCCCAGAGGAACAGGCCCCGGGAGAGGCGGCTCGCCTGGAGGCCTTCAGCCTCGCCGATCCCTGGGCTGAAGCTGGGGCGCCGGGCCTGGGGCGGGGTGAGGCCGGTGCAGCCAGGCTCACTGCAAAGCCCAGCCCCAACCAGGCCCCGATCCGCCCTGGCCGCCGGGGAAGAGAGAGGGGTCCAGCCGCCTGGCGCGCCGACCGCGGGAGGCCAGGTTATCCAGTAGACCCAGCTGGTCTCCTGGAGGAGAGCGCCGGGAGGGGGCGGTGCATTCGGGGACTGCAGCCTGGCCTTGTCCCCGGGCCACGGGCAGGCCCCCACAACTCCCCTTGTCCTCGCCGGCTGGAGATCAAACGGCTGACAAGGCGGCTCTGTCCTTCCCGGTCGGACAAGCAATTTCAAGTCCGATCCTGGGCGGTGGAGGAGGGGGGGCGACTTCCAGGTTGCAGAGATTTCACGGAGGGAATTGGGGGGCGCCTCGCCGAGTCACCCTCCTGCAGAGAGCTGGCCACGCCCACTTCTGGATCTCTGTGTCGGAGTCTTGTCCCACGTGGAGTGCCCCTGCCCCTCTAGCGCGTGCTTCCCAAGGAGACTAGGGTGTGGGGGCGGGGCATTGCTTGACCCCTAGAAGTTAATGGGGCCCGGAAAGGCGAAGATCCCTTCTGGAAAGAGAGCCAAACAAAATGAGCCCCCCACTGTGCCCTCTTAGTATCTTTTATTTAGTTCTCTAAGACCAAATCCCCACGGTTTATATGGAGACACTTTTTGGGAAGTTTCTACAAAGCGTGCCCCCTCCCCCAAGTAAAGCCTACTGTAACTACTTTTTCACGGAAGTGAAGCAACGGTATATATTTCCCCAGTACATTCACACCCCCCTTCATTTCCATCCCCTCTTCCTGAGTGGGTGGATTTGGACTCGCTTGGACTCAGTGTACCTCAGTCATTCACACAGCACCCCGCCCCCTTTCTCAGGGGGTCCTGCTCCTGAGGGAGGAAGAGTGGTGGTGGGGCTAAGGTTTTATTTTATTTGCTTCCCCTCCCCCCGCTTTCGCGCAGCCGGTGCTTGGGGCGGGGGGATAAGACTAGCTCACAAAAACAGCAGTTTGCACGTGTGACCGGCCTGGCTTGCGGGTGTGCGCACTGGCGAGTGTGTGTGAGTGCGCGCGCGCGTGTCTCGGTGTGTGCTTTCTTGTTCTCTTACAGGGTACAATGTTAAAAAGCCACCGCTAGTCGCCCCCAGTGCTCCGACTCTCTGGGTCTTTTTGTCTCTAGAGCAGATTAAACGTCACGTCCGCACTTGAACTTGAATTTTATCCCATTGTACAGAGGCAGCCCCAGCCACAGAGAGACCGAGAGCTCCCGGAGAACCCGGACTCCGCCATCTTCACGTTGCAATCTATAGCTCCTGTCCACGCCCGCACCGACCCGGGCGCACTGGGCGAGCCGCCCCGCAGCCCCGCTCCCCCTGGGCCCGCAGAGCCGGGCAGTGCTGGGGAGCGCGCGCGGGGACTGCAGCCCCTCCGGCCGGCGCCAGCCTGCCAGGTGACCCGGGAAGAAGCCGCTCCCGGAGTCCCCCAGAGCTTCGGAGGGGTCAGCCTCCGAGAAAGAAAAAAGCAGGCAGCGCGCAGAAAACCCAGAAAGAGCCGAACCAAGGCAGTTTTTCATTGCTTTTGGGCTTTTGAGGGGGCGGGGTGAGGGGGTACGAGACAAGTCCCCAAGTTTTCTTTGCTTGTTTTTTTTTCTTCTTTTTTTGAAATTTGTTTGCATTTTTTCTCCCCCCTCCCCTTGGGTGGAAGTGCGCGTTCCACCTACCAGACCCCGAAAGAAAAGTGTCAGAGGCCGGTGCAAAACCCGGCGTAACTTCAAGAAGACATTTACAAGTCTAAGAGGCCAAACACTTTGAAGAAGTGTGAGAGATATTTTTCCTCCAAAAGAATATATTTTTAAAGAAACCAGCCAGTCCGCGGCGAGCAACAGCAGTTTTATCATTTATTTTTGCCTTTTCTATTTTAGACCAAACCATCTTCCTGGCTTTTTCTTTTTTTCAAAAACAAAAACAAAAACACAGCCCAGAAGAAAGAGCAAAATAAAGACGAAGAAGAAGAAGAGGAGGAGGAGGAGGAAGCGAGGAAGGGCAGAGGCACCAACCCGGGCAGAGGAGGAGGCGCAGCGGCGGCGGCGGCTCGGACCCCCTCCCCGACCCGCATCTGTGCAGCTCTCCGGGCGATGCCAGAATAGATGCCGGGGCAATGTCCCGCCGCAAACAGGGCAACCCGCAGCACTTGTCCCAGAGGGAACTCATCACGCGTAAGTGTTTGCGGCGCGCGTGAGGGGCCGGCGGCCGGGACTTCGGGCGCCCGGGGCTGGGGACACCAAACCGGACGCAGCGGCTGGGCGCGGGGCCCTGGGAAAGTTTCTCTGCAGCCTGGGGTAGCAGCTGCGGGCTCCGGGTCGAGGAGGGGACGCGCGGGTTTGCAGGCGGCTATGCGCGCCGAGCCCGGCTGGACGCTCGGCCCTCCAAACGGCGTGTGTGGCGGCGGCGGCGCTGGTGGCAGGGTTTGGAGAGGAGGGGGAGGGAGCAGAGGAGCGGAGGGGGAGGGGGAGCCGAGAAAAGTTGGCGAGCGCGTGGGTCTGCGCTCGGAGGAGCGGGTTGACCAAGCCCCAAGTGCGCCCCGGACCCGGGGACCCGCAGGGCAAGGGGGTGGCCGCGGGCTCCCGGTGCCGGGATTCTGCGCCCCGCCAGGCCGGGCGCCGGCCGCGCTGGTGCTAGGATTCCGAAGCCGCCGTCCCCTCCCCTCCTCTCGCTATTTGCAAAAGAATCCAGCTGCGCAGCTGTTTGCTGGGCTGGAGCACCCCCTCCCCATTTCCCCACCTCCGTCTCCTGGGACGGTCTTGTCTTCCCCCCCAACTCTAAAAGGAAAAAAAAAAAGGTGTGGGGGGAGGATTTGGGTTGGTGAAAAAAAAAATCCCTGCCACGAATTAAAAAAAAAAAGATTGTCAGGAGTGGGAAAAGAGGGATGCACTTATAACAGTAAAAATGAAGAGGAAAAAAAAAGGAAGGGGAGAAAAATACCTATCGACCTCTTATCCATCTCTCTATCTCAATATCTTTCATCTTCCCCATCTAAATAAACAAGGCAGGTCGCGGTGCAAATCCGCCGGATTTCAAGCAAGTGGCGGGGCTCGCGAAGTCAGGCAGCAGGGCAGGCACGCAGCAGCTTCCAACGCCCCAGCTGGGTTCATTTAGAAAAGAAAACGCCGGCGAGAGCCGCGCAGGTACGCAGTTCTCCCGGAGCCCGCCGGGTCCCCGCGCTGGTACCAGCGAGGTCGGCTTGGAGAGCTCCGGGCCGGCCCCAGTCGCCACAGCCTGCTCGAGCCTCTCCCCGCGTTCTTTTGGTCGCGGTTGCTTTTTATTTATTATTATTTTTTATTGCAATAGAAATAAAATTTCCTCTGGGTGCCATCGAGACCTCAGGCAGGTTGTAATCTTGCAATCCTTCGCTCACCTCCCTGCGCCGGGGCCGGGCTCCCCGCGCTGGAGCTGTAGAAAGCTATGAGCGACGGCTGCCGCCTAGGACTGGCTGCCCTGCGGTCGAGAGCCGAATATTTATGTTATATTTTAAAGAATTTAAATAAATAAATAAATATATAAAGGGGCTCTCCCCTCCCCTCCAACCCAGCACAGGAGCCATCTGCTCGGAGCTATTGCTGTTCCCATCTCTCCTTTGTTACCGCAGACACGTTAGTAAGAATTTGTGCATTTATTATTATTGTTTGGGGGATATATATATATATATATATATATATATTAAAGTGAGGTTCTTGGGAGAAGGATGCCTTTTAAGGGAGGAGGGAAGAGGAGTCGCCTTTATTTTTTCAATGTTGTAATGTCAAAGGAGACTTGCTGGTTGTATTTAAAACAAAATGTTTTGCAATCAGATTTGAGCCTGGTCTCATCAAGAGGCATTTGACCACTTGACGTTTATTTCCTTCTTTAGTAAGCTACAGCCACGGGTTATTTCACCGCTCCTTCCTACCTTTAGGTGAGGTAGTTGTTAAAATGTCCATACTCCCAGAGCTTAATTTGTCCAGGAGGCGGTTTGCCCCTGGGAACCCCTGTATCATTGTAAAGATTGTTTTTGGGGAGGGGAGAGAGTCGATGGGAAGGGGGAGAAGCTGGTAGCCTGGTACTGGAGCATTTGCTGTTGAGTATTCTGGAAAAGGCAAGTAGGTTTGCTGTCCCTCTCTGGGCATCCCTGGGACATCCTGAGCAAGCTCGGACCAGAGGGACGGGTGGCAGCTGGGCCTGGGAGTGAGGGGTGCTCGGTGTGACATCCTTCCAACCTGCATTGGTTCACTGTGTCACCCTTGCTCAGAGCAGCTGGGAAAAGGCAGCTGACGTTGTAGCAGAAGCAGAGAAGGCAGAGTGTTGGGAAGGAGAGGGCCAGGAGACTAGGCTGCCTTCCGGGGGGCCTTGGGAGCCCGGGCATTGTTTAAGGGGTTTAAGCAAGAAGAGTGGTCCAACCAGTGCTCAGAAAACACTGCTTATCCCAAAGCAACCGGCTTCCCTTTCTCTGCTCTGTCACCCCGGAGGTGGTAAGACGGATGCAGGAGATCCACCGTGGCTGGGGAATGCGACTAGTGACAAACTGAAGGATGCAGGAGCCTTGGTTGCAAGGATTCTGAAGCCCTGGCCAGGAAAGCAGGTGTTGTCACAGCCCCTTCAGGCGTTCACATGTGAGATTTCAGATGTGAAGGAAACCATCTAAAATGTGGCGTATCGTTTTCAGTTGGGTGACAGCCTTGGGCCTGTGGGGCAACAGCTTAAGGTTCTTTGGGGGTGACGCAACTTAGAATCACCGATGACCAAGGAAACCAGGAAAACACAAAAATAGCATCCATGATCTTGGTGTGTTGGGTATGGGGGTAGGAGGAGGACCCCCGTAATGAAGTTAGTTACATTTTAAAGGCAGGGCAGGTAAGAAGGGGAGCGGGGAAGCTAAGAGTGGCAGACTGCTGGAGAGGAAAGCCTGGCCTTCTGGTTTCAGAAGGTTCGACCCAGATGGATTTGGCTTTTCAAACAAGAGGACAGATACAGACAGCCATTAATAAAAACAAACACAAAAGACACGGGGACAATGGTAGAAGGGGGGTAGGAGAGGTAACCTCTCCTACCAGGCAGAGGGAAGGGCCATGCTGCCAGGCAGGGTCAGGCAGAAGGAAATGTACTCTACAGTCGGTGGGGAAGCTCAAGGCTTTCTGAAGAAATAAGGGAGGTAAAATGGAGTGGTCAATTATAGAACCCTAATTAAGCCAACTTTTCAATAACCCACCAACAGGTTTCCGAGGAAGACTAGTAATTTTTGTATGCCTTCATGATTTTGCACAACAACCAGACACCCAAAATTTGCTGCAGAAGTTAGGCTAGCTGTATTAATTTCATACCAGCCTCTGCAAATAGGGTTTGTGATTGTTGCATGTTTTAAAGGTGGCTACGTTCACAGTGACCCGAACCCTAGAGTGCAATATGTCTATAATGGCCCACTTATCTTACTAAATTGTGTCCCTGGTAAATTTCATAGGACTTGGGCCCTCTTTTATTTTCGTCTTTTCGGTAGTCAGGTAGGGGCAATGAAGTTTGTCTGCCTTTTGCACAGAAGGGAACCCCGTGTCATTAGAAGTGTGATATGTCAGCAGCTTGGATTCCATGGGAGAATAAAAATGTGTTTGTCGAAGGTGTTATGCCAGGTTGATTTTATTCATCTGTAATTCACACCGGAGAGAAAGCAGCCATATGCATATTCTAACAACCCCAATATTTTTAAAGGGTATTTCTCCCCCCTCTTATTTGAAGATTTTTGTATATATGCATGTTTATTGTTTGGAGCCTGGGCTTTGGCAAATTTTGTCTGGTCTTCAGGATCCTTCATAACAGAAAAGCGAGTTGATTGTTTAGTCCTGGGGTGAATATGGTTGCTCCTGGGGAACTGAGACTTGGGAGGGTCAGGGTTAGATGACTAGATGCACCTGGTGCCTTACCACCGAAGGTCTCAGCAAGTCTCCCTTGGCCGGAAGAAAGGGCGACTTTCAGCATGTTTGACAGTAATTGGAACTATGTCTCAGGTGAAATAGATGCATGTAGAACAGTCTAGTTACAGACTCCGGTTTCCTACAGCAGCCAGCCGGCAGGTTTCCAGCACCTAATCAGACTCTAACTGCTGACCGGTCCTCCTAACCTTTGTGTATCCATTTTGCACCTCTTATCTCATTGCCGTGGACTCTTTGTTGCTTGTTGTGATAAAATACTTCACAAAGTAAACTTTTGGTGGAATTGGCTTTGGTTAACGGCAACCCTGATGCTTCAAGCCTCGCCTAGCGCCTCTCGTCAGCTAGGGGGCGCTCGGTGCCCGTGTCATGGTGGTGGCGGCTCCGCTATTCCTGGGAACCCGTGTCCATCAGCAGCATCGGCCGGCAGCAGCAGCACGGGCTGCAGTTTGTGTCGCTGCAAAATGTCTTAAGCGTGAAGTTGTAATATTGATTTTCCAGCAGAGATTCGTGCAGGATAAAATGAGAATATAAGTTTGAGAAATCTATTTTCAAGCCATCGCCATCGATTTGTAAGCCCTTACCTGGCAGGTGGGGAGGTATTTTCTTTTCCTTCAATTTCCTTTTCTTTTTAAACAATTAAAATTGCTATTCCTGAATGAGCATATGTCCCCTGATCTGTCCATGGTCTTGACGTTCTGAACATTTTGTTTTGTTGTATTCAGAATCCATTTGGGGAGTCCGGGAACAGTGAATACCATTTTAGGGGTGGTCCATCTTGGTGCATGTTACCAGAGACGGGGGCACATATCACTGTGAATTGCTGCTTAAGGAAGTCCTGGTCCCAAGACGGCTTTATGGATAACAGTCCTTTCAGGTCCGATCTGTAGCCCGCTCAGCGCCATCCATCCCATAGTGAGCCCACAGAACTGAGGTAGAACCAGCTCTTTCCCTAAAGATATAACATAGCTCAAATCATGTGGGTAATCTTGTGTGCAAGGAGTGTGTGCTTGCCAGGGCCAGCAGCAGCCTTTCACCCCAGACAGTGCCCTACGTGGCTGGCTTATCATGCGGCTACATTGCTCCCCAAACGTGTGATTTAGGACTGGGGAATATATGTACCGTGTTGGTGGTGGGATTACTAGATCTATAACGTCTTTGCTTTAGAGTTCAAGAAATCTGAAGATAGCACAGTGAGCTGGAGTCCTATGCATGAGTTCAGTGGGTGAGCTCAAGAGCTTGCCCTGACACAGGAAAATGCTTTTCTTCTAACCTGAAAGAGAAATAAATTAGGTCAGACAAAAGCCTTCCCTGTCATCAGCTGGAGGAAGAGGGCCAGCCATTTATCTGATGATTTCTCTACTTCATTTAATGTTTGAACCCGGCCAGTTGTAAGCACACTGTGGAGGCCAGCACAGAGGGTAGCTCTGAATTGAAGAATGCAGTACCTTTCAGTTTTGGGTCTGGGCAGTGGCGTTTGGCCTACAGAAAACTGTTTTTTTTTAATCCAGTTTATAGGAAACCCCCAATCATTTGCCCTGGAAGCTGAGGACCTTCTTGAGCGGTGACTACACACCAACACAGACTTTCAATTCATGGGAATATATATATATTGGACTATGGGGTAGGTGGTGGCTGTGAGAAGCTCTCTCTTTTTTTTGGCTGCCTGGTTGTCATTCTTTTTAGCCTAAACTCTCCAAGGATTTTGTTCCTAGGTTAATGCTGATGTTATATCTGGGGAGGATAGGTGAAAATAAACTCTTTTGGGGGACTGTACCCTGCACTGAATGGCCAAGGTATTGATGCCGGCTGAGCATCCAGCCCTGAAGACTTCATTAGCCTTAGGCATACTTGTTTTCTGCTTAGTCGGGAGGAGACAGAAGAAGGCTGGGGATGGTGGGCCCGCATCATACAGCTGTTCTGATCATGGCTTTGTCCTGTCTCAGCACCCCATTGACTCGTTGACTCGTATGATCCTGCCTGGGGGGGTCTTGAGTGCTCTGCCCTCTCTGTCAGTTCTCCGGCCTCATAAATCTGCTTTCCCGAACTGAAGCTAGATATCGGCCTGTGAGCTCTGTTCACATTCCATTCCCCGTGTCTCTGGTTTGTGGACTGCCTCCTTTGAAAGCTTAGCTTTCTTTCCCAGGGTGTGCCCAAAGATTGCTGGGAGCAGGCTGTCAGGGGGACATACATCTTGTGCCCTCCTCAGGAGCTGGTGAGAGGTGGGCATAGCGATCTCTTGTTTACTGGCAGGATGAGCACACTAGATGGTGAGCCGTGTTGTGTTCCGGGGACTCGTGCTGGCGTTTTTGACACATGCAAGTCTTTTGTGTTGCCACTGAAATTCCAGAATTTCATTCTTTTTTTTTCCCCCTCTCTTTCTCTGTGGAAGCTGATAATTTGCTTGGGTGTGGAATTAGCCGGCTCAAGCTATTGACTGCAATGAGATGCCAGACCACACAAAATTAAGTAACTTCTAAGTAAAAAGAGGGTTAAAAAAAATCCTGTTTTGCTATAACTTTTTACGACCTTGTTTCACTGAACTGCTAAAATACAAATACATTTGCGAACCGCTCCAAGGGGCCTTCTAGAACAGCATGCCGAGAGACTGAAGAAAGCTGAGAGCCAGTATTACCGTGATTAGCAAGTGCCTCAGATGGAGGCATTGCTACCGACTGAAGACGATGGGGTTGGAGCCGTGTTTAAATTTCTACCTTGGAGAGGAGACATGGGAAGAAACTGGTGCCCTTGTGGGCTTCTCGTACCCTCTGAGGATCTGGATCCCCTGGAGACAGTCTTACGTGCATTGTACCCATGGACATCTTCCCCCTGTGTCTTTGAAAACCCAAATATTCAACAAAACAAATGCTCTCATTTGGCTGCAGAGAACAGTCTTATATCAAATCATTCCTAGCCCCGCTGTGGCTTGAAGATCGAAGGCACTTGCAGTTTCATGGGCAAATGTGTTTAGAAGCTGTTCTGTCGTTGATAGATTTTTTTCTTCCTCTTTTTTTTATAGGCAGCTGTTTTATTTATCAAAGCGTATGTCAATTCATTCTCACTTGTCATGGCCTTAGCTTTTCATTTGGACTTTTTGGTATGATGAGGGTCTATGAGAATATCTGAGTATTAATTTTTTTAGTCTGTTCTTAGTTTTTAGGGGATCCAGCCTCCTGAACTCTGATTTTGGGGTTCTGGAGAGTAGTGCGCAGTGAGAGAGAGGATGAGGACTAAGCCCGCGGAGCACTTTAGGACACATTTAGGGGCTGATCTTAATCTACCCACGTTTCCCCCAGGTCAGGCTGATAGAGGACAGTCTGCGCAGATGGAGGTCCCCTGCCCTCACCGTGTAATTTCCCTACCTAGAGTCTGTCAAACAAGGCTGTATAAGTGAGGTTCTCCCTGCAGCTAAGATGTCTTCATGGATCAGAAACTCCCTACCTTCCTGGAATGCTGTCTAGGCTCCATCGTGCCCCTAGGTGGTCATATCAGCCCTAATCCCGGTCAGTTTCCGAGGAGGAGAAACCCACTCCGTCCTCACATTCTGTGACAACGGATTTCTGTCTGTCTTTATCCCATTTGTCAGAAATGATGAAAATTCAGGCCAGGTGTGGTGGCACACGCGTTTAAACCTAGCGCGGAGGCAGAGGCAGGCGGATCTCTGAGTTCAAGGTCAGCCAGGTCTACGGAGCTAGTTCTAAGATAGCCAGGACAATACAGAGAAACCCTGTCTTGAAAAACAAAACAAAACAACAACAACAAAAAGAGAAAGCAAGCAAGCAAGAAAGAAAGAAAGAAAGAAAGAAAAGACAAAAGAAAAGAAATGGTGAAATTTTCAAATTTCAGTTTGAGTTGTGTGCTGTGGCTGGCATGAAACAGGCGGCTGGGGGGGGGGGGGGCAGCAGCCTGATGTGTGCTATGGCCCTGTCCTTCTGGGGAGGTGGTTCTTGGAGAGTCTTAGGGAGATGCTGGGAACTGACACTTCTAAACCCTGCCGCACTTCTAAACCCACTGAGGGACAGCGGTCAGGGCAGAGGGAGTGGGATAGATGTGTAATTCCTGCTTTGGATCCTGGTAGTTGGGACCTGCTAGAACGCTGTTGGGAACCTAACCCTTTGCGACCCAGCGTGGGCCTTCCTCCCAGTGTGTGCGTCCTCTCACTTCCACCTCACACTCTCTGGGCACATCAATATTCCCTCGGTTGCAGAACTCCATAAAACCTCTGGTTGTGTCTTGCGTCATCAAGTCATAGATCATTTTCTCCCCCAATTGATTCCTGCTTTCTCCCACCCAGCCCCCTCCTTCCCCTCCCTGGGGTTGTTATTTTCCCCGTGATCCAATAAATTAAAAATTGATGGGAGTTCAGAAAGTGTTGGGCTCTGCCGGGTGCGAGTGTAGGTGGGGCTTCCTGTTGCCATGTGCACCTCTTGGTGTCTCAGCCTCTCCAGAGTGTCCACCCAGCCGAGCGTGAGGAGAGCCTTCTGCAGACTGTTGGTAGGCACAGGCCAGCTGCCTGAGACTCCGGCTTCCTGGGAAGCAGGCATAAAGTCTCCAGTCAGAGGAGGCAGAGCTCGCTGGATGCTGAACGTTTCTTGTAAACATACATATGCATTGTGATGGCGGCTGTGGGCTGTGACGTTGGCGGCACACTGTTTTAACAGCCAGCCCCCTCTCCCCATCCTTTCTTACTGTCTCCACCTACCTTATTGAGACCGTGCAGACTGTGGGTTAGCCATTAAGGATAGAGACTTGGAGTTGAACAGAAGCAAGGGGGAACATGAGCCCATGTACACAATAGTGTGTGTGTGTATGTGTGTGTGTGTAGCAGTGCACACACCCCATGGCCTGGGCACAGCAGGTAGCTGGTTTTCTGGCTGGAATTCCCTGAAGGGCAGGTGTAGGGCGGTTGTTGAAGGACCAGGACGGGCAGGGTCCTGGGATCTGTGTGCACACAGAGGACTCCCAGGCCAGGGGAGGCTTTCTGAACCCCACTGGAGATTTGATGGCTGCCTGACTGGGCCAGTGTGAACAGCTCCTCTCCACTTCTGTCTTCTGTCCCAGATTCCTTCCCAGTGGGGCTGAGACATGGGAAGTTTGCCTTAGGATCAAGGGTTTCCCCTTCCACTTAACAATGATGCCCATTATTATTTGTGAAGCCTGATTTCATTGCCTCTAAATGCGTTTACCAGCTGGGAGAAGGCCCAGCCTTGTAAATAAAGTGTGGTTTTGTTGTAAAAGAAAATCTAGCTCCCCCCCCCCCCCGTGTGTGTAAATATATATTTGTTCACGTGCTTTAGATTTAATATTTCAGAACTCTCTCCAATCCTGTGGTATCATATTCAAGCAAGTTGCTGGCTGCATCCGTCCATTCATTTTCCTCTTTAATGAGTCAAACATTTTAGCAACCGCTGCTCTGATTCGGCTCATGGTGTATGGAAAGCAGTAATATTTCGCAGGCCGCCTGACACTCGGAGTTTTTCAGGGAAGCGCGTATCTTTTCAGAGAAATGTTTTACCTGTGCCCAGCTTGTTAAGGCCTGAGTTTGTGGGATGAGGCTGAGGGAGGGGCTGGTTTGTTGAGTCTGGGGCTGGAAGGCCGGTCTGTCTTCTCTCCTGTGGCAAGTGGGACTCTCTGCCTATGGAAGTGGAGGCTGGGATATGCAAGTGTCTGGGCCAGACCTCCGCCTTCAGTGCAGGGCTGCCGAGGAGGGTTCCCAGAGGGCCAGCCTCCCTTTTCTCAGGACTTGGCCAAGAAGTTCTTTTCCCTTTTCTTTCCTCTGTTATTGATACAGTTCTTAGAAGGGACACACACACACACACACACACACACACACACACACACACACACTACATGCCCAGCCCATATCCGCCTGCCAGCGGAAATGAAACCACAGCTTTTGGGGTGTCTCTCAGAGCTCTGCCTGAGCTTTCAGGCCCAATCAGCTGCCTGGTTCACCCAGAAGTTGGGGTTCAGTGGGACTCTGCTGCCTGAATGCTGGGGGGTGATCTTGCCACCTTCCCCAGGAAAGAATCACTAGCCACAGGCCCCAGTTCAGAGACCCACTCCCATAGACTGGAGGTGGGGAGAGGAACCCCCACTCCTTGGCGTTCATAGGGCGAGCAGGCCGTCACCTTCAGGAGTTTTACTTTCAACACTGGAAGTGGGAGGGGAGGTAGTTTTTATTTTTTTCCTGGTTCCTTCTCCTCCCAACTCCTTGAGTCGTGGCAGTGGGTTGGGTCCCAGTTTTAAAGGCAAGGCCTGAGTTCTGAGCTGAGCCTGTGCCGGCACAGCCTAGCCTGTCTGTAGGGCCCTGGTGCTCCAGGTTGGCTGCCTGTGAGGGGGAGGCACAGAATTCAGAACTACAGCTTAGTAAACAGAATTGGGGGCACTACACCAGTAACTGGGGCTCACGGCCTCACTGTATGAGGGAAGTGAGAAGACAGATTGAACACAGATGGACAGACCTACACCTAGATATTACAAAAGACGATGCTGGTTTGGCGTCTTGGTCAAAGGAAATGTGGACAGGGAAGGAATATCGTGCAGACATATATGACATTTACTAATTTTTATATAA